TGACATAAAATGTAATTATATAATAAATTAAACACTACCTTGTCCATGTTTTATAATTTATAGAGATAATGGTAATATATGCCAATAAAATAAATATAAAAACCATTAGAATAATATATTACTTATAATAGTGCTTCATCATTAACATTTCATACATATAAATAATAGGCTATATTACATATTGTAATATTATATAATGCTGTGCGCTATCCGTCACGCCCACTGAAGGCTCGTCAGTAGATCACACATGCGCTGAAGTGAACTAACCCTGGAACAGAACTACACTGGGCGTGACAAAGCGACCGTTGCAAATCATTTTGTCAGTACTAGGGGTGTGCGATATTGACAAAACAATCTCAATATTTTGTGATTTTATCGATAAAGATAATTAGACGATATTTTGCTGAGTGTGTTATTGTGCTGATATCTTAAGGACTGCCGTGGACAGCTGACTCCTAAAGTTTTTGATATTCTTCATATTCTGTGTGGTCAGTTCACAGCAGTGATAGAAATTAATCTTTTCCAATAAGTTTAAATAGATTTTTAACTTATGGGCATTCTTACCTTTATAAAGCCATTTTTTTCCTAAAAGTGTACATCATCTTTTGAGTCAAACTCTTACATTTAATCAGTCAATTATAATACATTTAGGCTGTTACTAAACAAATTAAGTATATCAATAAAATTAATCTTTGCAGAAGATGCATATGAAGTGGCATTTAGATACATTTACACATGTTAATGCAGCTCAGAGGGACATAGAATGCTTTAACCTGCAATTACAAATGCATAAATAATGTTTTGATATTTAAAACATGAAATGTTGAATACTGATATATGAAATTGTTTAAAAAAAAGAGAAGATAACTTTAAATGTGAAATTTGAACCGCCAGTAGGTGGCAGCAAGTCACTATTAAGTGAGTCACTGCGATTGAACCGAATCGTTTAAACGGTTGATTCATTCAGAAACAAAACAACGTCATGTTGCTCAGAGACGCAAAACAGTACTGTGGCTGTGTTTGGAATGTTTTCTTGTTGGCGAAATAGCACAGAAATAGCGCAAAAACAGCCAATATGGTGTCTAAAACACAAGTCTCTAGATATTAACTTGTTTATTGAACTGTTGTATAAAATAAATCACATTTGGAACCATGCTGAATTTTAGAAAAAAAAAAAAAAAAAAAAAAGG